GTGACGTGTCATTCTTTTACAACCAAGTAACTTGATAAACTGTTGATATGCTGAAGTGTGACAGGGCAATAGTAATAAAATCCAGTCCTAATATTGAACTAAATCACTTCTAACTGCTAATCATCAATGGACTATTAATAGTTCTTTGCAGTAACACAATACATTTCTGTACAAAGTCTAGATGCCATTTAGAGCTGAGTTTTCCTTTCTCCATCCTTTTTTTCTGTTTTACAGAGCAGACTCTGTGTCTGGCTGCGTTTCCTCTCTTGTGTGTGTGAATCTATGTGTTGTTGTCTGACTTTAGCTTTAGGCAAAAAGAAGTCAGGTTGTGAGGTGGAAGGGGGTGGAGCTTGTGTTTCCATAGCAACAACAAGGTATCAGCCTTATCAACCACAGGTCTGACCCAGATTTTTTTTTTAAATTCCCACTAACCACAACAGTTGGCCCCGCCCCCTCCATTTTCCCCTCACACGCAGTTTTAGTACAGTCAGTGATTTTCAATGAGGGGGAGCACAAGCAGTCTTTCACTGAGAGGATCCATCTCCCAGGGCCTCCTGCGACTCCGCCAGCGCAGGAGGAGATTCTCCTTACATCCGTGTCTTCATCTCTAAAGAGCATGGACAGTAAGTCTACATCCCTCAGTTCTGACCATAACCCCCTTTTTGATAGTGACTGGCAGATACCATTGCTGTAAATCCTTATAACTACAGCTGTTGTCCTTGAGGAATGACGTCAGCTATATCTGCCTGTGTTAAATATGTGCACGTGTTTACTTGCGATGACAAGGTGCTTATTAAAAAAAGTTGCTTTGAAATAAAATATATAGAACTAATTTAAATTATTTCATTAGTCTGTACATGGGTGAAAATGTATGATGTAAAATAAACAATGTCACAAATGTATGACGAGCAGAAAGTGTTTGGTTGTGTATCCTTTTCAAACATTTACCGGGATCATTTTTAAAGTTGTGCTCTGTCAATTATCAGTAGTTAGTATCTTATCAGTTGTGATATAAGTTGGGCAAAACTTAATCAGTGCAGAATAAAAGCCCACAGTAACTCTCCCACAGGTTTAACATTTTTACATTTGTTGTGATGCAATTAGACAGCATCTGCCTGCAGTGTGATGAGCTCATCTCACTGTGCACAGACTTTATGCTCCACAAATGGTGCTAATGTTTTTTAGTCTTTAGTCCCACACAGAATATATTAACTCATAACTCATGTGCATAGATGCACATGAGTTCATATTGACAGAGAAGGCTAAAATTGTTTAAATATTGGTGAAAAATATTCAACCAGAGTTAAGACTCAATGGTTTTGCATTCTGGTGTCTTTTTGTCATACCTCACAACTAATTATCCTTTGTAATCAACTTAGCTGATGAAATCAGGTTCAATCTAGTGGTCACACTCATAACTCGTAACAAATGCAGCACAGCTCTTAGATCTAATAAACCAACAGAACAGGTCTTTGATCTGGTTGTGTCTCCTGTCTGTGATGTTGGGCAGGTTTTGGGGCATTTTGACACGTCGCAATCTTCTTTTGACTGTTCTCGCTTTGGGGTCGCCGCTGCAAGACATCCTCCTCCATCCACTTTGTCTTCCACATCACCTGTCCTCACTTCAGCTACCTAATGTCCTCTCTAACTGCATCCATATGTCTCCTCTCTGTCCTTCCCGTTTGTCCTTTTCTTCTTTGTCTTTTTGACATGTCCCAGCAAGATAAAAGTAATATTAGCATTAGATCTGGTTTTGTAATTGCTGGCTGTTTGCTGTGACTGAGACAACCAAGAATCTTGGAATTGACTCATTAATTAGTAAATTTAATGTCTTTGTTTTGAAACTTTAAAAATACATAGAATATAGACTTAAGTATTGCAAAACATTTCAATAATAAATGCTAGAATACATAATTTATACATAAACTATAATTATGTCACAATAAATATTTATCCATAACGAAAGAAAAACTCATTTCACTCCACCAAATAAATACCAATGGAGTATTTAACACCCCCCCTCCCCCCCGCATCCTTCCTTCACACTACCTTCCACATACTGCTTTAATCCATGGATAATCCTCTTTTCCTGCATTGGTGTAAATGCTTTGGTCTATTCATTGCAGGGAAGTGCATTAATGCACCGTCCTCTCCCAGATTCTTATCAAATATAATTCATAAGAAAGTAGGACCAAAGTCCTGCTTGCAAAACTATTGTGTAAGCGTGAAAAATTGTATTGATCACCATTATGCACATATATACTATATACCTGTCTAAATAAAGGTTGAATGAATGAATATGTTCTTCTAGTGAATTTCTTGCAAAACCTATACATGAGTGTGCACAAACATAAAGTCCATTTTTTATTTTGAAATACAAAGTTCATAAAACAAAAGATTAAATATGCTAGGAGAAAAATATTTGATAAATGTATTGTGGTTGTGAGTAGATGACCAGGATGTGGTGCTATATTTAGAAATGAGGTGAGAAGAAGAACAGGGAGCATAAGTCTGCCTAGCAACAGCCTAAACACCAGTGAGGAGTCAAGGCATGGGGGGAATGGAGCGCTCTGCAAACCCACATTATATCCAGTCTTTAAACATAACCATCATTTTGTTTTGTTTTGGGTTGTGCTATCGCAAAATGGAAAACTGAATTTGGTTAGCAGGTGTGTCAATTAGAGATACACAACAATGGAATAAATTAATACATTAAATGACAATCATTCAATAAAAAAAAACTTGGCTAAAAACATGCCCTCCATGTTCTCTGTTCATGTTAGCTGCGTAACACAGAGCTGGACATCTTTTATGTATAGTTTTTATGGACTGCTTTAAGTGTTGTTTCTGTTATATTTACGCTCTTTTTCAATTAAATGTGTTTTCTTTCTTTTACCTGGCAAATGGCAACAAATGAAAATTAGCTTTTGAGCTAATTTGGGTGCTTTTGCTCGATATATAATGCAGAGATATAGATAGATGTGCTCAAATACAATTAAACTAAATTTAAAGTGAAGTTTTTTAGCAAAGTTGTGAAAGGAAATATGTCTTGTTGTAAATAGCTCTTGGAAGACCTCAACTTGAAGAAAAATAGTTTAATTCTGACTGGACTTGGTGGGCTCATAGTCGGAGCGAGACATGCAGCATAACATCAAAATTAATTTGATTTATTTACTCAGCTTTTGCATCATCGTCAGTTTTGCATTACATGTTTGTTTCTATAAAATTCTGTATTTCCTCCTGTGAAGCCTGGCGGCACTTCTTGCAGGAGTATCATAATATTTCTACAGGAAATGCAAAACAGATAATGATATAAAGATTTATAAAGTAGCATTCATTTTAAACAATTTTTAAAATTTGAGATTGTAACAAGCCACTTTTGTCTTGGCCCTGCTTGAACTAGCCAATGGTCAAAATTAAACCCAATTTCTCCCAGCTGAGGTTGATCAAAGGGCTGTCGATACAGGTAAGATATTATTTGTTCATACTCTTTGATTCCACTTCATAATGTCAGAACTATTGCTATAAGGGTTTTAAAATAATTTTTATGTCTACCTTTGTGCACCTACACTGAAAGTTTGGAAAGTGATTTTATCAGAGACTTTGTCTTTGTGAAATGAGCATGCAGTAAAAGTGACCACAGGAATATTATTTTTACTTAATTTTGTTCGTACAATGTCTGATCTGGTTACTGAAAACGTTTAAGACAGAGAATATCTTGCTGTTCTAAAAAATATTGGTATTTTATTATTATTATTATATATATTTTTTCAATTAGTCACATTGATTTTTTTTGTGTGTGTTATTGCCACCTTCTAGCCTATATGGGGATTTTAGGGTTATTTTATTTATTTATTCTAGTATTTTTAACCATGGCTATGCATATGTTTGATTGTATGTTAGCAAAATCTCTCATAACAGTGATCAAATTTGATTGAATCTCTAAGAAAGTTACTTTTGGCTGCACATTTCCATCTAATCCATGTTTCATGGTGAGCACAAATCCCAGCTGACAATTGGAAGCAAACATCTCTAAAACGTTGCCAGATTAAGCTCAGATTGAATGCTGCAGTAGCTGCAATTCATCCTCAACACACCGTTTGAGCTCTAGCAGTTCTCATGAAAATCTTGCAAATCGCATTAGATCTTGCACATTTTTTTTGTTGTAATTTTTTGGTTTGACCAAATCTAAAACGTGATGATTTTTTTCACATCAGATGAGTGTAGTTTTCAGCAGTGGCATGAAAGGTGGGCGTAATGTTCAGTGAATATTTCACCTTTAATTTAACTTTTTGCATTCTTGTCTGGAAGGACATGCTTTGTTGAAATGAATAAAAACAATTTAAAAACAATCCAAAGTGTAGTCAGGACATAAAAGTCTGGTTTGAATTGTTACCATTTTGTTTTCACTTCTTGTTACAAGTTTTTATTTTGTTAAACTAATTTCTAATCAGATTTTCTCTGTCCCAGTTGACATATGAATGATTTTACTAGATTGTGTTGTTTATTTTTGACTTTAGAGGTACAACTACACAAAAGACCCTGACAGTATTGCCGGTAACATATACATTATAAATCTATCAGAGTGTTGTGGGCAGTATTGTGTTTTGCTGACAGACTTGTCAGTCGACAGTTTAATCTGTTGCAGGAGTTGAAAGAGAGAAACAGAAAGAGATCGCAGTGATGACGGTTTGTTTTACTGCAGATTCTTTATTTGTGCACAATTCTGTTTGCTTTGTGTTTTGTCTCTTATCCTCATGCTTATCTCATTCCCCGAACATACAGCGAGGGTCAAAACAAGGACAGAAACAAAAGCAGTAATCCATGACATGGAGGGGGAATGGGGGGTGAGGGAGGACTCTGCAGGACTGAGGAGTGCACTGAAGGATCATTGGCCTGTCCTTAGGGGTCATGTCAGAGCACCGCCTGTCTGCAGACAGTGCACTCTGTGAATATACAGTAAGAAGAGGCTGACGAGGCTGAAATTTATGTCTTCACAGGAATTTATCAAAGAAATATCAACCCAAGAAGAACTCAAAGGAAGAAGAAGAGAGCAGGTAATTTACACTTCATGTTGCATCAAGCAAATTAAAGTAACAGTTCATATTTTACCGACTCTGATGAGGAGAATGATGCCTCTGTCACATTATTAGTTTTAATTTGATTAGACAAGAAACCTCCAGAATCCAATCATGTTTTATTTGGTATAGTTCTACTTTAGTTAAAAACAGAAATAATTGGTGCAGTTTTATTTTCAGTGTTTATTTACTCTCGTTCAGAAAGTTCAAGATATTCAACTGATCTGTTTTTTTCAGCAAATCCGAGCCACTGCTCCACTTTATTTGCTTCCTCTCATGTCCCCTCCTGTGTTTCACCAGATATACCTTCTGTCGATCTTTCCTGACAACTCTCAACGAGTTAAACGACTACGCGGGTCAACACGAGGTCATAGCGGAGAACCTGACATCTCAAATCATTGCTGAGCTGACACGCTACCTGCAGGAGCTCAAGACTGAGAGAAAATCGGTGAGACGTTAGAGTTGGACATGTTTTGTCTTCCTCTCAGCTCGAAGAGTTAAAGCAGACTTTACATTTACACTGAAGGATATAGAAATGAAAACAGACTCATACATTGATAGGACACTAAATTTCCACTTCATGCTCAGTTCTTCATGAACCGAGGTCATCACTCAGTAAAAATAGATTCACCCAAAGGCTTGAGCAGAACACGATAACTCAGTCTGTTTATAGCACACACCCGCAGTCTTTCTAACACTGCAGCCACTTTAAGGTAACACTTTACAATAAGCTACACAAAATTTGATTAACTACTAGGGAACGCCTCAGGAACAAATCAGGAGCTAATGGGAAGTTAACCAGTACTTACTGGGGTACACACATCCAAGCCTTATCAGGAGACTACTGGTTTGTTACCATAGAAACAGAGGAGAAATTCTGAATAAACGCTGCATCAGTGAGGTCACAGCTCGTAATTGTAAAAAAAACGTTTCCTAGTGGGTCACTGGTTTTATTGGATTCTTACCACAGATTAGCAATTTCATAATCTTGTACTGCTGTCATCTCAACTATCACTTACTGATACCAAATCATTGCCTGTCTGTTATTTTGTTCACTGATGTAGTGAAGCATCATACCAAGTACTTACTGAGGAACCAGTCATTACTCAATCACTACCAGACCAATACCTACTGGTTTGTTCCTGTGATAACTAACCAGTAGTCCCCTAATAAGGCTTGACCGTGTGTTCACCAGTAAGTAATGGTTAACTACCCATTAGCTCCTGATAGTTCCTCTTTGGTTTCCTTGGTAACTACCCAATAGTTATTTATTAGTTCCTCTTCATTTAGAATGTAACTAACCAGTAGTCCCTTCATAAGGCTTGCCTATGTGTTCTCCAGTAAGTACTGGTTAACTGCCATTAGCTCCTGATTTGTTCCTGATTCGTTCCTGAAACGTTCCCTAGTAGTTAATCAAATTTTGTGTACCTTATTGTGAAGTGTTACCCAATTTAATCCTAAAGTCATTTCTGGTATCGATTCAGTGAAATGCTTTGGAAAAGCAGCACTCAGGCATGATGTGTAAAAACAACACAGAGCACTTTAAAGCTGCAGAGAGGAACCAGAATGACAAACAGAGAAACAGAAAACTCTCTTTGTTTTAGAAATCCAACTGAAGGAGGAAAACCCAAGAGAGTTGCTGAGTGGCACAATGATTAAACCTTTATTCTTTTCCTAAATATGTACATGTTCACATGTGGCGTCATCAGGCCTGGTGTGTTTGCTACTACACAGGAAGCTGTAAACCAATTAGTGCTCAGCTCTATTTCAGCTCAGCCTGCAAGAAGAGGAAATGGGATTTCTAGTCCTCTTCAAGGGGAATCCTCTACCTTTACCAGACCTTATAATTTGTTTGGCTGTAAGTCAAGCTGTCTTTGATTAACCTGGCATAGCCAATATTTGTTGCTGTGTTCACAACAGACCCTTCCTGTTCTCGAGCTGCAGGATGTCACTTTGACGTCTCTCTTCCTCCTCTTCTCTGCCTTTACTCCTCTGTTTTCTTCATTTGCTCTTTTTACACACATAATAAATGCCAGTGTAGAAAAACACCCATGAAAAGAAGAAGAAGAAGAAAAAAGAACCAACTGTGCGAACTAGGTTAGAGCAGATTAAGATGCTAACATCAGGGGTTTGGGGCAATAATTGTCAGTGTTATGACAATTATGGAAAATAAAGACGCTGCAACTCTTGAAATTTTACTTTCACCTGGATGTAATCCCTACCTTTGAGCAACGTTTCCATATACAGTTATGCAATACGAATGTGTTCATCTATGTGTGTGCCCACACCACTTTGAAAGCTTAAAAGTGACTAATGCAATGCATTCTGGGATGTTTCAACATATTTAATGAAGGGTTGCCAGATCTAATAAAGTTTAGCCTTTAGTAGGGCAGCAATTCTCAAGGCCCAGACTCTGAATCATCCGGACTGAATGACTGGTCAATCCAAACCCAGCCCACATGTGAAGTTGCATAGCATTGAAATGTATTGGTATGATGCAATAAAGTGTATATTTACTAGAGTGGCATGGCTGTTTTCAGAGTGCACACAGAAAGAAAGAGTGCACGAGGCGAGTGAGGGAGGGACAGCGGGATCCTGTGCTCGTCTGCTCAGTGTTAGAATCGGAGCACATGGCTGAAGCAGTAGAAAGTTAGCTGTAAAAATTAGAATTTTTAGCTGTAAATGTAGAATGTCAGCTGCAGTAAGAGCAATAAATGTGTTGACTCGTCAAACTCCAAGTTGTCTGAGTCTGTTTAGTCTTTTCTGCATTAAAAGGTGGTTAGCTCTGGGGCAGGTTGCAGCTTTGGCCTTTGTTGGTGTCAGTATCACTAAACTCAGAGTCAGAGTCAGAGTCAGAGTTTCTTTATTGTCATTCGCACCTCATGTGGTACATGTGGTGGAGCGAAATTATGTACGCAGGGTCCCAGTTACATCCAACAATAAAATGTATAAGAAAAACAGTAATAACATCTAAGATATGAACTAAGAAAAACATCAACTAAATATACACTAAGCACTCATAACATAAAACATTGAACATCAGCACAAACATGAACATGAGTCTGTGAGCAGATGTGCACGCATGAACACATCAACATTGAAACAGATCAGCAGCAACATGAAACAGATCAGCAGCAACATGATATGGTTTTTCACAGTGATTATTCTAGTTAGAGATTCATGAGTCTAACAGCCTCAGGGTAGAAGCTGTTCCTCAGTCTAGTGGTTCTACACTTAATGCTCCTTAACCTCCTTCCTGAGGGGAGTGGGGCAAAAATTGTGTGTGCTGGGTGGGTGGGGTCCTTCATGATGCAGGTGGCCCTCTTCCTGCATCTGGAGGTGTAGATGTCTGTGATGGTGGGGAGACTGATTCCAACAGATTTCTGTGCAGCCTTCACCACTCTCTGCAAAGCTTTTCTTCCTGCAGCTGTGCAGCCTCCATGCCACACATTGATGCTGGAGCACAGGATGCTCTCCACTGCACACCTGTAGAAGGAGGTGAGGACTGAGCTTCCCAGACCAGCTCGCCTCAGCCGTCTGAGGAAGTAGAGTCTCTGATGAGCTTTCTTGATCAGGCTGGTGGTGTTGTTGCTCCAGCTGAGGTTGTCATTCATGTGTACACCCAAGTACTTGTAGCTGGAGACCACTTCCACCGCAGATCCTCTTATGTTCAGGGGGTGTAGGTGTTTTTGTTCCTTCTGAAGTCCACAATCATCTCCTTTGTCTTCTTCACATTGATGTGAAGGTTATTCTCTCTGCACCAGCTCTCCAGGTGTTCCACCTCTAAACTACCATGCACATTACTGTCAAACCTGAGAGCAGTTTAGGTTCACAAGAAAAACTATTGTAAGCAAACAGAACTATTTCGTTAGTTCTTTCTTTCTGACTTAACTTTTTTAGGTTTTTCTACTTGAGCATGCATCAGGATATTTCTTTAAGTTGTGAGCAAATTTAACAAAAAAAAGAATTTGCTTATTGCGTCTTGTTATTGACTAAACTCATCTAGTAATCAGATTTGAATGTTGGAATATAAAGTGTGAGAACCTCTGTTGAAGGAGACACCTGATGTTTTCCAGACGTGTTGCGTAACATTCCTAAGCAGCATGTTATAAGCAGGAGGCTGAGCTTGTTAACACTTTATTAAGATTATCCTCCATGTTAGAACAGTGATGAATTTTGAACCAGTGTGGTCAATGAGGGTACTGGCCTGTCAGCTCCCACAAATATGAATAACAATCATGCTTCACATTACATTTGGTTATGGCCGATAGCATTTTGAAAATACTGTCAACAAGTTTTGTGAGCAATAGAGGCAGGAAATATTTTACAGCAATCTTAGACAAGTCGACATTAGAAAGATGGACAATATCCAACTTTCAATTGTTCACTTTTTTCCACTTTTCATTAGTAAGGATCGTCCCAACTCTTCCTCCCAAGCTGGTTTTAGAATATATTTTGGTACAGCTGAAGCTCCGTAGATATCCTATTGTACCGTAGTGTTGGTTCTAATGTGAATTAGTAGCTTTTTAATTTTATGCTAAATGTTTAGTTCTCCTAGTGTGAACTTTTGCTTGTTATCTTGTCCTACCAAAACCTGAGCCTGTTTTCATGCAGCTGATAGTGGGTCATGTGTCCTCTTCTGTTTTGGATCAGTAAGCCAGTGTTGAGGGGATTTCCATCATAACATAACTTACTGCATCTTTTCTGAATAAAGGCTTGTTTCATCTGCAAACATTGGGCTAATAGTTTCCTCAGTCCTGTTGGAAAACAGCCTCTTTATAATGTCACATGATGGGTAAACCATAAAAAGGCTCCTCGGTACAAAACGAACAACAAACAGCAGATTCTACATGAAGCACATTCACAGTCCTTCAGAGAAAATCTTGATGATACTCTGAATTTAGAAAGCTGTTAGAGTTTGTGCTTCCAGCTTCCCTCGTTTTTTACTGTTTTATTTTAAAGTGTGATCACTTGTTTTCAATCATGTCACAGACACAGCTGTTCAGGCAGATCTAGACAGTGGGATTAAAGGAGAATCCAAGACCTGCCCTTCCTAGATTTGCAGAGGCTTATTGGTCAGATAAAGTCCAGACCACAGACCCAGATGGAGAAATAATCCCTCATTATTTCTCGTGCAGTTGTTCTGTAACTGTTCCCACCTCCCTCTGTTGTTTCACAACTTCATGAACTCACTGTGAGACGTGTTAAAGGTTAAAGCATTTAGTTAAAGACGTGATTTAAATAGATTTTTTTAATCACATTAATGTTGTAGAAAAAACTAAAACTATCCCACATTTGCAGTTCAGTTTTTTTATAGCATGATATTGCAGGGGTGTCAGGGTTAATATGGGATGTAGAGCCTAAGTGTGAGTAAACCATATTTGTGCTGAGAAATCAAATATGGTGTTCAGTCAGCATGCTGCTGTCCTACACGGCTTATTGTCCTCT